TGGAACATTGTTGAGAAATCCAAATGAAGAGAAACTACGGGAGGCCACAGACCTGGAGACGATTCTCGGTGACTTCCCAGTCTATCCTCTGGTTGGGCTTCAGTTTTAAGAAGAAATTATTAAAAGGTTCCATCATGCCAATTTTATTTAATTAGGGCTTATATTTGCGTGACATGGTCACACAAATCGCCTAGAAGATATGAGGGTTTACGTCGTATCGAACGACAACCTCGGAACCTAGAACGAGTTAGGGCTTAAATCGTACAGCAGAGCTATACGAATGCCTAAAGAAAAAGGTGGAGGACTTATGTTGCGCTAGACAAACAACCTCGAAATCCTATGAATTATTGTTTAATTTCTAGGAAAAAAAATGGTTTTGCTGGGGAAGACGTGTTATGCTGTTGAAGATGGCCGTGCTGCCCACCGCGCTAGCTCTAAGCTCCCCGACATGACGAGTTTAAGTTTTCTAGGGTGTCCAGTTATAGTGTCAAATCAAACATCTTTATGATTGTAGTCTTCTAAACATTCTATATAGAAAGGAAACATGCTTGAAGCTATATAATATAAAGTGTGGAATGCTGGAACAAACAATAGAATGCACGTGGAACATGAACAAGTAGAAACAGGAGCAGTATGACATGCTATACAGAATGAACAGTAGCAAGTAGAAACAAGACAAATATAACATGTTGTACAGTACGGTAGCAGGTAGAAACAGGACAAGTATAACATGCTGTATAGTACGGTAGCAGGTAGAAGCAAGACAAGTATAACATGCTGTATAGTACAATAGCAGGTAAAAACAAAAAAATTAGGTGCAGTAAAATGTAAAGCAAACCTGTACGCCCGTGAGATCCAATGTTCCTTAAGTATAGCAAGCCTAAATGCATCTCAAAAAAGCAAAGTTCGGAAGAAAATGTTATCCAGGAAATCTGAGGAAAAGCAAAAAGCTCGAGAAAATCAACGAAAAAGACTCAAGTAAAAGAAAATCCTCAAAACTCCTGGGAAAATCCCGAAAGGAAGGAAAAGTAACACGAGCGCCCTGTCCCAAAGCTTCGATAAAACAAAAAGAAGATTCGGATGAGGGGGACCTCAAGCACTCGTATGGGACTAGGCTCAGCTGTACATTTATTCTCGAGGGTCCATGAAGGCTACTCGGTCACACGAATGTATAGAACCTGTCACTCGTCTAGAAGGGTGTCTTGAACTTCACTCAGAGGGTTATTTCCCAGCCTAAACAGAACATATTTTAAAATTTATGTTTTTGACATACAACAAATTTTAAACATGCAGAGAAGAGTTATCAATTTTCGCTTCGTAGCAAAGTATGTTTTTGTTTGAAAATGATTTATCAAAACTTATCTTTTTTTTTTAAAGAAATTTTTGTTGTCCACGAGTCGATTACGCTACCAGGCATAGAACTGCCAACAACATGAGGAGATTCGAGTCAACTCCCGCTAGACTTATGTTGGTGAAGGATACCATATCCTATTGTTCATCAAATGCCTGGACCTTGATGTTATAGGATATGCCATCTTTCTGCTCTATCTTCGCTGTGCCTTTATCATCACCACCGTACGCCCCAAAACGACTACTTGCGACCTTGCTTGATGCCATACGTGGATACTTGTGCATCGGGCATAAGCATCGAAAACTAAACCAAAAAAGCAAGGAAAGAAAAGAACAAAAACGGGGTGAGAGAGAGGAGACACTGATCAATCTAAAACACCGAAAAGGAGAATAGATCGGTCCTCAAAGCTCGCATCGAGAAGACCTGGAAAAGTAGGGCCCAAGGTCTTTCCCAACAAACATAAAAAACAAGTTCACACTAATTTTCCCATTCCCCGAAGACATAGGGTTGACCAAGTCCACCAAGTGCTTTTCCAAAATGAGGTTTAAAATCTCCTAAACTTCAAAAGAAAGTGACCCCGGGGAAACCACCAACGATATTTCCAAACTCATGCCAAAATTAAAATTCTCCAACTTTCAAATTAATAGATAGTCTCATGTATTAAATAAGCACAAAATCCTCCCATAAAACCACATAAACGCTCACGATCAGGGTCAATAGAGAGGAGGAGGCAGCCACCAAGGCTTTCGGCCAAGGCCAAGAACAGGGACAAAAGAGGTTCACGGCTAAAGCAAGGGACAGCTGCCAAGACCCATAACCAAGGGCAGCCCAAGAGACAACAAGTAAGGCCTACGGTTAAGACAAGAAAGAGCCCATAAAAGAACTGTTAGAGCTCACGGCTAAGGCAAACAAAAGAACCACCAATGACTACTATGCTTCCTTGACAAACACGAAAGGATAACTAAAGTAATTATAATTTTTGGGATGACAAGGGATGGCAAACTTGATCCACC